GAATTGGGGCTGTTTCATCCACAGTATGCCCCCACTCGCAGGCACAATTTATGGCTTATGCTTCATATTAAATAAATATTTACTGAGTTAATTTATTGGAATATTAATGAAGCTAAGCCTCTGCTTTCTGAAAAATTTGACGTATAAGTTTCAAGTACTGTAACTTTCATTATTATAGTGGCTCTTTGATTCCAAAGAATAGAAAACAGACAACACATATTAATGAATTAAAAATTCTTTTTGACTTTATATATAAGATTATAGGTGTCTATTTAGAATTGAAAGGAAATGTTTCAATAGGCAAATCAGATATTTCATACAGCAGAAAATGAGTATTGCTGAGTTTATATACCCTGGTTAAAGTAGACTATCTTTTTTTTTTTGCAGTTTTTTGGCTGGGGCCAGGTTTGAACCCACCACCTCCAGTATATGGGGCTGGTGCCCTACTCCTTTGAGCCACAGGCACCTCCCAAAGTAGACTATCTCATGTGCTCCACACTTCTTTACCTTTTTTTTTGAAGACATGGCTAGGCCTTCACATCTTCTACCTACTTAAATAGTTTGATGATGGAAAAAGGGTTCTGGAGCAATTCCATCTATGGCCTTACTCTTTTAGCCTAATATTTCTGTACATCCTCAGAGCAGCTGTACACCAATTAATTTCAAGAGTATTCAGGTGGTCAGAGGAAGAGCTTTAATGACGCCCTGTTTTCAGGGGACTTTGGTTTCTTAAGAAACAAAACAGGCAACAAAGCTCTTAAATTTAACACAGAACGTCATGGCCAAAATAGTTAAAATGAAAAAAAAAATAGTAAAATAACAATATAGCCTGTGCCAGATGTAACCAATTAAATGAAACAGTTCACAGGTGTTCAAAAAAAATGTCCATAATATAGCGGGAGAAAATCACTTCCCTCATTTTTATGATTTTAATAATAGGACAATCTTTATATACAGTGAAAATCCTTTTAACTGCAGTGACAGTATGCCCTGCTGTCTCTGATCCATCTCCTTCTGTACTGTAATTTCTGTCATATACCCTGTTGATACTGATGACTCTGTTATTCATATTGCTATATCCATAAATATGGCTTACTATGTCTCAACCCAGAAATCGCTCCATGTGACCAGATAAACAGCCTATAGACAACATTTTAGGAAAAGATAATCTTAGTTGAGTAAACTTGTGCTAGAAGCCACCATACTTTATAAGTAACATCCATGCGTGGAAAGAAGTACTTGTTTGATTAAATGACTATCACCTATCACAGTATAAAGACCTCCCATCTTCCTATATCTTTTCTTCCTTTCTACAAATTCCTACTCGTATATTTCCCCCCATATTCCCAGTACTGGACTGGCATTTGTGAGAGATACAGACAAAAGAATAGAAGGATTTACATTCCTCAAACAGGTAAGAGTACAAAAGAAGAGACACCATGTATACAAAGAGCTATAAAGATGACACAAAAAGATGATACTATTCAAGAGGTGCCTTAAAGGTTACAGGTACAGTGTTTTATGTCAGTAGTTATTTCCTGAATATCTATTAAGTGAAGGGTCCGAAATAGAAGTTAGGGATATGACTCAGCAAAAGACACATTATTTAGTGTTATAGGTTTTACCATCTGTGTGGAAGACAAATGCTAAACACACAGACCCATGAGTGGATTATTCACTGAGATAAGTAACATGAGGAAATCATATTCAAGTGAGAAGTACAGTAGGGGCCTATTGTGGACAGGATGATCAGAAACGACTGCTCTCAGGTGGCATCAGTTTAGCTGAGGCATGAGAAAGAGTCACCCATGTAAAAATTGTGGGAAACACAAGAGAAGTAAAAACATGTCCACACAAAAACTTGCATGTAAACATCCATTGAAGAATTATTGGTGATAGGTAGAAGTAAAAGCCACTGGAACATACATCAACTGGTGCTGTGGGTCCCCTGAAAAGGTACGTTGAAGTCCTAATGCCCAATCCCTCGGAAAGTGACCTCATCTGGAAGTAGAGTGATTATCGATGTAATTAGTGAAGAGATGAGAGGAGAGTAGGATGGGCCCTTAACCCAGTGTGACTAGTGTCTTTCTAAAAGGACAGTGGTTCTAGGACACACTCAGAGAATGCCCTGTGACAGCAGAGGCAGATGGCATGACAAGGCCACGAGGCAAGGAAGACCAAAGGTTGAACAGCTCCCACCAGGAGCTGGAAAGAGGCGAGGAAGGAAGGATCACCCCAAGTCCAGGAGAGGGCATGGCCTGGTCAACACCTTTATGACTTCTAGCCTCTAGAACTGTGAGGGAATAAATTTCTTTTGCTTAGGCACTTGTGTTACTTTGTTACAGCATCCCTAGGAAGTGAATACAGCCCCCAGATAGATAGACACAGAGAGAACTCGGTATATCCAGGCAGTGGAACTGCAATAAATGGAACAAATCACTGGTACATGTTGTAATGTGACTGAACCTTGCAAACATTATGCCAAGTGAAAAAGCCAGACCAAAAAAAGACCAATATTGTGTGATTCTGTTCCTATGAAATATCCGGAAAGGACAAATGTGTGTAGAGGGAAAGCAGATGAGAGCTTGCCTGAGGCTGGGACTGGTAACAGGCATGAGCTATAAACAGCTATGAGGGATCCTAGTGGGGTGACGGAAATGCCTAAAACTGGATTGTGGTGATGGTTGCACAACTCAGCAAATTCGCTAAAAATCATATTGGCTTATACACTTAAGTGAACTTTTTGGTATGTAAATGCTACCTAAAAAAATGTTGTTTTAAAAAAATAATACGGGTAACAGTGAGACTGAAGCAGAAAGAGTTTTGTTGCTGTCTGGTCATTTAAAGACCACCACAGGCTAGAAGATAGGGCATGGGGTCAGAGGGCAGCAGTAAGCAGGTAAAGGGTCCTGGGAAGGTGAGTTTGCAGGCTGGGCCTTAGGGTTTGAGGGCGAGGAGATAACAGTTCAGGGATCTGGGACATTGCATCTCTGCATTGCCAGTGATATTTCAGTTCCTCAGAACAAGAATTGTGCAAGATATATTTTCTCCTTGATGTAATTTTCATGACTGGACCACAGAGACACAATTTATATGTGGTGTTTTTAGAAAGATGGAGGCTAGGGAAAAAACCCAATCACTTCTAAGACATCCTTGCCCCTTGTATTATTGTCTTAACTCCGCCAACACGTGATACTCTGCAATGCAGACTAGTATCTTAATTTCCTGGGAGGATGAAAGACCTCTTCTCTCAGGGGCGGTTCTTTTTGTAATTAACACTGCTCTCAGATTTTACAGCCACATACCCAGCACTAAAAGGTGTTAACTTTCTGGCTGCACTCAGAGTCATACTACTGATATTTCTGGGATGATGAGTCACCTGTCTGGGCTGTTTGTTAGCAAGTTTGGCAGCTGTGTGTGAATGCCCTTGTTAGAAGGCACTCCATCCTTACCGGACTAGTTATGTGCAAATGCTCAACGTAAGGCAAACCCAACCAAAGGTGAGAGAGATTGGTCAAAAAAGGAGGAACGATTTTGTTTCTAAACACTGCCAGCATGGATTCCGTTAGTATATTTTAATCTCGTTTAACAGTGTTACTCATTGCAGTGGTGAGGAGCACGGGAAGTCTTAACCTCAGGAAGGGTAAGCATCACTTCCCATATAGGTTGCTACCTGTGGGTCCTCTCTTCAGAAACATGCCTTCATTAGGGAACTGGGACCGAGATTAAGACAATGAATTAAATTATTTCAAAGGTCCCTTCCAAATCCAACACTCCCTGTCATCCTAGGAGAGGAAGAAAACAACCAATTTTGTTTAGATTTGGACTTTTGACAATGTACCTCACAAGAAACCTTGCTGGACTGTAAGTCATCTGAAACTCAGGGTCAGTTCCCCCTTTTTTTTTTTTCACAGTTTGAGGAGATACTCTGGATGCACCACAAACTCTGAAACACCGGAGGTTAAGGGTCACCTCTGCAAAATGAGTGAAATCGTTTCTCTTGGTTATTGTACATTTCCACATCCATTCCTTGTGTTTAACCTTTTCTCCTGAGGTTCAGTCTCTCTTTTCTCTGACCATGGGAAGGTGAGACAAAATGGAGAGTCCTATCTTTTCATAGCAAGCTAGATAATTCCAAACTCTTTCTGACACTGTTGAATCAGAGTTCGAAGAAAATGACTAGAGATGGAAGAGAAATAAATGTACTATAACAATTAGAGCAATGGTAGATGGGATTGGTCACGTGCTGATAAGAAATAGTTGATAAGTGGTTAGTGATAAAACATAGACTTACTTTTTTGGGCTATGTTTCCTTGGCCATAACTGTACATTTTCCAGGATATGGAAAAATTGGGAGAATATGACCATTAAGATAAGTGTGCCATTGGCAAGGTAGGTATAACTTAAAGGTTGTTTTCCGGAGCTGTTTCCCATTATTATTTTTTCATTATTCCAGAATATAATAAAACTACAGGCCTATGATATCACCTCACGTATACTAATTTATGGTTAATTCCAATGGGCCTTGGAAGGGAAAGTAAAAATTGTGGCTACAGAATGATCACTGAGAAAAAAAAAATTTTTTTAATATTTAGAGGTAGTAAAGCATGTAGGTATGTTTAAAAGCACTTTTAAATATTAGAGCTTTTTCTGCAGTATACTTCCAAGAAGAAAATGTATTTGATTTTCCAAGTGATAAGGTCTTTATCCTCTTCACCTTCCCCTCTCCCCTGACTACCCTGAGATATATTTTTGAGAAGTGAAGCTGTATGATGAAGAATTTAATCCTAGGTAGATGGTGTAGTGCTGTGGTACAAATTCTTCCCTAGCAGTCACTGGGGGAAGGGCCACAATTCGTGGTCATTAGAGGGGGGACCTGCTTTAAGAGAAGGAATTACTTGTACCCATAATGTTATAGAGCTACATACTTCATTAACAGAAAAATGCTTATATACATTTGAAACGAATCTCCAAGGCTTAGCCTTTTTGTTTATTCACAGGCGTGATGGGTGAATATGAGCCAAAAATAGAAGTACAGTTCCCAGAAACGGTCCCGACCGCAAAAGGAGCAACGGTGAAGCTGGAATGTTTTGCTTTGGGAAAGTAAGTTCTGGTTTCTCTTCCTCCGCGTCCTCCCCGCAGCATGGGCCGGTACAGAATTTTCCTGGCGCTGTTCACAGTGACAGTCAGGTCAAGCCTTGCTCTTTGTAATTCTGTGTGTACATCTCTGATTCTTCCTTCTCTATGGAGGGAGGGCGTGAAATGGTGCAAGAGGGATTAGGCTGCCACGATTGGCGTGGCCACAAGGAGAGGAGAATGGGCAATTCTGCAAAAGGATTTTGTTCTATTATTCTGACCTGTAATGTGCATGCTGTCTAACCCGGGATGACAGGAAAACAATGGCCTTTATTTAAGGTACAGTCAAGCTGAGTATTTGAAAAAATACGGACTTTCATTCTGGGCCATTTACAGAGGACACATCAAACGTTTCTTGAATTTCTTTTTAAATTGTCAGGCTCTTCTCTCCACTTTGGATTCCCTTCTGCTTTGGCCAGAGATAGGTGTGAACTGATATTTTCTAAGAGAGTCTGTTTTACAGATTTGTCTGACAATTATTTACAACTATGTTATTCACTCTAGATTATCTTTTAAAAAGCCTGCTTGGGAACTAGTTAACTTTTCCATAGAGTGTCTGTCAGAGGGCATGAAGAGAATGGAATGCAGATCAGTTGGGATTTTTATTTGCCAGTAGCCAGCAGAAAAGGTTTGGCATAAACAGAAATGAAGTGTCATCTGAAGTGAGAATTTTTTTTAATTTTTTTATTTATTTAATTTTTTTTTTGCAGTTTTTGGCCGGGGCCAGGCTTGAACCTGCCACCTCTGGTATATGGGGCCAGCACCCTACTCCTTTGAGCCACAGGTGCCGTCCTGAAGTGAGAATTTTTACATCTGTGATTTTAATGATCCATGTCAGTCTCAACCCTCATCCCCGTCTTTCTAGCTAGTCCATTACCAAATCTCTGTTTTTTTTTTTTTTTGAAACAGAGCCTCAAGCTGTCCCCCTGGGTAGAGTGCTGTGGCATCACAGCTCACAGCAACCTCCAACTCCTGAGCTCAAGTGAGTCTCCTGCCTCAGCCTCCCAGGTAGCTGGGACCACAAATGCCTGCCACAATGCCTGACTATTTTTTGGTTGCAGCCATTATTGTTGTTTTGGTGGACCTGGGCTAGATTCGATCCCACCACCTTAGGTGTATGTGGCTGGCGCCTTAGCCACTTGAGCCACAGGCACCGAGCCCCAAATCCCTGTCTTTATCCTATGCCCAAATGTTGACCAAGGAAGCAACGCTGACTCTTGCCCAATCCTTGTCTCAGCATGTAATCAGTTCTCAGTTCTCTTACTGTTTTGCATTTTATAGCATAGAGGAAAGAGGTTCCTTTTTTCATTTTACTATCAGCTCTAATAGAAAGGTTGTTTTGGTTTCTGTGTGTTCCCAAGTCATGGAAATATAAACTGTAGCAGTATCTTTACTTTGGTACAGTACAGTGGTAAAGTGTTATGTCCTGAAAACTTAACCACATTAAATAAATTATGACATAGCTATAGAATTGAACACTATACGGACATTAAGAGTCAAGTCGTAAAACAAGATGTAAGACAGAGAAAATCCCTATGATTTATTGCTATGAGAAAAAAAGCAGATTGAAAACAGTGTAATAGGGTCATTTTTTAAATTGTAATGCATTGGTATATGCATAAGTATTTGTATGTGTATATGTAAAATTCATCACGGAAAGGTAAAAGCAGGTGACTGCATAGTCTAGGTATGTATTGGTGAACTTTGTAAGGAGATCCCTTAGAAAATCTTCTGTGGATAAAGGGAGCAAAATTCATATTGTTCACACTTCAAAGGGGGCTGTGAATTAGACTCTATTCATGCTGCTTGAATGGCGCTAGAATACAAACAAAAGACACAAATTGGGCTCCTCAGTCTACACAGAAATGTTTGGGTATGCACTTCCTGCTCTGAAAGGTATCATCATTGCCCACTTAAGAGCAGAAAGACTATGTCTAAGTACAGTTGTTTTTAAAAGGCGTGTATTAAGTGTATATTTCACCAGATGTAAAGACGCCCGTAATGTGTTTTTGATAGAGCCCTTTCTGTGTTTTGAGTTCATGTCTGGCTAATGAACTTAAATTCTTCCAAAACAAGTAAAGTAGAGTTGATGGATTTAATGTTTTAAATACCATCTCAGGTTTTCCAAAGAAGATTAGCAAGTCTTTAGTCTAATTGCTTCTCTGTGTGTGTTTTTGTGAAAAAATAAATAAGTAAATAATCGTATCCTCTGGTAGGAAGCCACAATCGTAAAAGCTGTGGTTAGCTCGCTAACCATTGATTTGCAGACTCAAGGATGCTCCCCCTTGCAATTTCAGATGTGTTCTAAGTAGTTCTGGCAGCAGGATTATAGGTGCCTTGAGAGGACATAAAGACCCCACAGGCTGCTTCTTTATTTATTTCACTATTTTAAGTAAAGTCTCCACGTGGACTCCTGAGTTCGCATGATTCTCCATATTTAAATACATAAGTAACGGCAAGGAGAATAACCATGTTGTCAGAAGCAGTGTACCTTGAGTCACCCTTCCTGTATGTCAACAATTAGGTGGTATCTCCCAAGTTGTGTGAGCTTTTTATTTCTACTCTCATTTATTCATTATTTGGGTGTTTCTCATAGTAAGGTGCATGCACAGAAGATTTATAAAAATCTGTTGTTTCTATCATCTATTGCTGCGAAACGAACTTCAAAAGAACAACCAACCAACATTTTATTATATCTCACAATGTGCAGGTTAATCAGCAAGGCTTAGCTGGATGGTTCTCTTGCTTTACGTGGTATTACTTGATATTCGGCCGACAGACAAATGGGTCTGGGAAGCTCATGAGAGTCTTGCATTTCTGGTGTTTGGTGGGAATGTAGGAAGGCTGATCTCACTGGGATTGTCAACTGGGAACCTTCTTTAAAACAGCCTCTCCTGCATGGCAGTCTCAAGATATTCACACTTCTGGTAGGAAAGCTCAGGGCTCCCAGGGAGCATGTGTTCCAAGAGACAGAAAGTACAAGGTGCCAGCTTCTTAACTCCTGAGCTTGGATCCTGACACATCACTTCTGCCTTGTTTCATAATGTGAGTTAAGATGGTCAAAAACACTCACAAGGTTCAACAGCAGAGACCTCATCTCAATGGGAGGAAAGTGAAAGAATTTACAGCCGTCTTTCATTGCCACAAATGCACATGGACATTTTTATTTTCATATTGAAGATTTAGAGAAACATATATTGAAAAAATATAACAAACGTACAAATCTGTTCTCATTTAAATGATAATACTATACTGGTGATAGATCACCTTGGTTAAAAATTACCTGATTTTAAGAAAAACGCTAAGTAGATAATAATACGAGTGATGCAGGATATAGTTAAAATCACAATAGTGACGCGGGAATGAATGAATTCTGGGAAGCACTGTCTCAAGCGAGCTTTTATGTTTAGAACCAGGAAGGAAAGGGTGGTCAGGAGGATAGGTTCAAATAAAAGATACACTTTCCTACCATGTGGTTCACTCCTTTTCCTTCTTTCTATCAGCCCGGTACCAACTATTACCTGGAGAAGAGCTGACAGCAAGCCAATAGCAAGGAAAGCGCGAAGACACAAGTCCAATGGGATTCTTGAAATTCCGAATTTTCAGCAGGAAGATGCTGGTTTATATGAATGTGTGGCTGAAAATTCCAGAGGGAAGAATGTAGCAAGGGGACAGCTAACTTTTTACGGTAAGTTTGTGATTCCAGTTTATCATTTGCAGTACCACAGCACTTCTTGGTATTAAAAAACCCTTGGTTTGCTACCCAATTAACATTCCCTGGATGATTCTGAATGTGGAGAGTGAAATGGGGGCAAGGATGTTGATGGAGCAGAGAGGAAGGAATTAGGCTGATGTGTTTAGGGGGTGAGTCTTAGTGTGAACACACTTGCAGAGATGTCTGTTTTTCTTCTTCCCATCAAGCTGTTAACCTGACACAGGAAACGTTTTGTTATTCCTCCTCCTGATTTATTTTTGTTTAAAGCTCTATGCTCTTCTTCATTAGAATTTTGATTTGGGGCTTGTGTTAATCCTTTGTAATTGCTCCTATTTGGTGGCAATTTAATGTAATACCGTGAACATTTCGAAATGCCACTGTCCAAATTTAGTTCCTATCAGAGTGGAACGTGACGAATCTCTCTCGCCCCAAAGACTTTGTGTGCAGCTGCTCCTATTCCGATCAAATCATCAGCATTGATGCAATCATAATATAAATGCAGAAGCTCTAGCACATGGTCATTGTTGAGCCCATCTTGGAAACCCAGTTAGGACATTGATTTGAAATCCAGAAAAGAATTTCATTGGATAGGCATTTTGAAAACAAATTGAGTTCTGCCAAGTTGGAGCATGCCCACATCCCATCTGTCTGGGATACAGAAAACAAATATTATAGACTGATAATTATTTAGGAAAGGTTTAAATAAACAGCAATGCCTGTTGAAATGGTGACAATAGTTCTGTAGGGGCAAATTACAACACAAGCTTTAAATGTTCTTCTTCCTTGAAATAACCAATATACCACAAAGATCTATTTATTCCACCAAGCCTTCCTCCAAAGCATTTTAGTTTTAATATATGGCTGAAGAATTCTGTTCATATATCACATTAAGTTTTTTAAAAGCTTGGTTGGGGAAATGTTGGTTCCGTTAGTTTGAAGTCAATGTCTCCGGGTAGAAAATAAAACTTAAGAAAAAAAAAAGAAGAAGAAATCCTTGACTGGATTGAGTGTAGAGTTCTAATGTCTACCAGCCTTTAGCAACCTCCCCACATGACCCTCTGCATTTTGGACTTTCATCCTTCTGATGCAGCACATGTGTCTGGAGAGCTCACAGAGGTCTAGAAATACTTCACTCGATGAGCTGGGCATTAGCTATTTAAATCCCTTTAAATAGCTATTAATTCCCTTTAATCATTCTATTTTCCTTAAGAATAATAAAGAACTAACTACTCCTGCCAAATGACAGACCTAATATTTGATATGTTTCTTAAACTGTGGCTGTGGCTATCTTATTTGATGGGTTGAAAAGCCAAGGACACCACACTAAATTTAGACTGGGGAAAACAGAAGAAAGTTACGGATTTGTTCAGTGAGATGTAATTGCTATGTATTTTTTTTTAGCAGTTTAGGGTTCATTATTTCTCAGCTGTGTAATCATTATTTTTTTTCTATGTCAGGTAGGGACCATCTGAAAATATTCAGGTAATTAGCCAATGTGTTCTCTTCTTTCCTTAGTTAAGGAGACTTTCCAATACAGTGGTCATTGTTCCTAAAGGTTATTTGAGTTGCTCAACGAATTAAATAAAGTCATGTTCACTTTCATGATGTTCTCTTTAAGTAAAATACCTGCTTTCAATGGGTTACAAAGATGTGAAATGTTCTTCTAACCGGCAGCTGGCGCAGTGGTGCTTTCTAGAGGGTCAGAGGGGCCCTGAACTGGAAATAGAGTACTCCAGAGTTGACTGGTCTGGAGAATCTGCTTTGTCATCCGCCCCCAGCCTTGTGAGGGGAAATGTTTTTTTCAGAGATCCTGCCCAGGAGATGAAAATCAGGTTCTAACAATATTTCCTTTGGAAATGGAGTTATCTGCAGCCACGCATGGGGGGAATCTTCTGCCTTCTGACGATAACTCTGCTTCACCTCAGTTGTCAGCCATGCTCAGCCTTAGAGACCTGTCAGACCAGTTGACTTTCCTAGCACTCGGATATTGAATCTATGTTTATCCTTTTGTTTTTCCTCAGCCAGCGTATCAGTGACACAGAAATTATCTAATTGTTTTCGTTGTCACAGGAGAGCTTAATTATACATAAGTGCTTGCCTGTCAGTTTCCCCCCCCTCATGTTTTTGGTCTAGGTTTTCCCAATGCTGTATTTCCAATTTAAATGAATTATTATAATTAAAATCACTGTGGAGATCACAAAGGGGGAGAAAGTAGCCCCGGCCACTTATCCATGAACATTCTGTCTTTGATGACGAGACAGACTCTTACAGCATTACTATGTGCTGTGCTCAGGAATTATAAACTGTGAGTTTGAGCTGAGAAACCTGCTTTGCGCTCTCTCTCTCTTTTTTTTATTTTAGTTCTTAGTTATTTCATTCCATTCATCAACTCCCCCCTTCAGCAACCACGTATGTGCCCACTCCCCTCCCATTCAGGCTTGAGAAAATGATCACTTTTTTCTTCCTGTGTTAAAGACATTTCACCTTCTTCTGAAGTCCAGCTGGGCACGATTCCGTTTCTCCTACCTTCCACGTACCTGAGTAATGCAAGGGACTATGTTCCTACTGTGGCCATGTCTCTAGATGAGCATGTGTTACTCATGTCTGGTGTATAGAAAGAACTGAAATAGATTCAAACATAAAATACTTCTACTCTACCACATCTTCCCCAGGTATTTTTGCTATAACTTGTACTTGGCCAGTGTGTTCTTGTTTTAATCTGCTCTTAGAATCTTTGGGGGAACACTAAAAACTCCCTAACAGATTGATCTATTTTCAAAGATAAATACTATGGGTCTTTGTTCCTAAAAGTAGAAATTTTCCAAAATGACTTTTTTTTTTAATTGTTTGGGATTGATTGAGGTACAAAGAATTAGGTTACACAGAGTGCATTTGTTAGATAAAGTCCCTATTATACTAGTGTCCCACCCTCAAGAGGTGTGCTGTACACCGTGTTTCCAAAAGGACTTTAATATGTTATTTACTTGTTCAACAAATATTGTTTTGATAGTGTACCATGTGAAAGGGACTGTTAGTCGCTAGGGCTATAAGACAAAAATCCCCGCCTCTGAGGACCTAACATTTTACTGGATGTTAACAGACAATATACTATTAAGCAAATAAATGAACCAGAAAACTCCATATTGTAGTAAGACTTATAAAAAACATAATTAGGTTTTATTATTAAGAGTACTTGAGAGCCTGGGAAAGGCTTCTTATGATAAGGTGGTCAGGGAAACCTTGTCTGAGGATTGGTCTTTGAGCTGAAAGCTGAAGGATAAAAATGAGCCAAGCTTTCAAGGAGAAGTATATTCCTGGCAGAATGTAAGGAAGTGCAAAGGTCCTGGGGCAGAAAACTACTGGACTTGCTGAAGATGCAGCAAAGAAGTCAGTGTAACGGCTCGGCGCCTATAGCTCAACCGGCTAAGGTGCCAGCCACGTACACCTAAGGTGGCGGGTTCGAATCCCCAGCCCGGACCCGCCAAACAACAATGATGGCTGCAACCAAAAAATAGCCGGGCATTGTGGCGGGCGCCTGTGGTCCCAGCTACTTGGGAGGCGGAGGCAGGAGACTCGCTTGAGCCCAGGATTTGGAGGTTGCTGTGAGCTGTAATGCCACGGCACTCTACCCAGGGGGACAGCTTGAGGCTCTGTCTCGGAAAAAAAAAAAAAAAAAAGAAGTCAGTGTAACTAAATCACAGTCAGCAAGGGGACAGAGGTGTGATACACGGGAAGGTGACAGACTGTGTCGCACCGTGTAAGCCAGGCACAGAGGTTCAGTTTTAGTCTGAGTACAGTGGGGAGCTGTTAGAGGATTTCAGGAAGGAGTGAGACTCTGTTTCAACCATGCTTTTTAAAAGATCACTCTGGTGAAGAGATGATAGGACATCAAGCCCAAATGCAGGACCCCAGTGAGGAAGCCATTGCCACTGTCTAGGTGAAGAGATGCTGGTGGCTAGGACTCAATGTAGAAAAAGAAACAGAGACATTTGAAATATATTTTGGAGTTAGAGCCAAGAGGACATTCCATTTCCCTCCCACAACTACCTAGTTCATGGATACTGAAACTTATTCACAGAGAAATGAACGTAACTGATTGAAGTTTACACAGTGGGACGCAGGGCTAGATTCCAATGCAAGAGGTTCTGGAATTTCAGTGTGCATCAGAATAACTTGAAAGTCTTTTTAAAATGCAGAATACTGGCTTGGTGCCTGTGGCTCAAGCAGCTAAGGCGCCAGCCACATACACCTAAGGTGGCAGGTTCGGATCCAGCCTGGGCCCGCCAAACAACAATGATGGCTGCAACCAAAAAATAGCCTGGTGTTGTGGCGGGCGCCTGTGGTCCCAGCTACTTGGGAGGCGGAGGCAGGAGACCCGCTTGAGCCCAGGAGTTGGAGGTTGCTGTGAGCTGTGATGCCATAGCACTCTACCCAGGGGAATAGCTTGAGGCTCTGTCTCCAAAAAAAAAAAAAAAAATGCAGAATGCTGGGCTCTATCTCAGGAGGTTTTGATTTATTAGGTCCAGAGTGGGACCCAAGAAAATGCATTTCTGTTATGTTCCCAAGTAACAGTGATGCTGTTTTCCAGGGACCGCACTGTGAGAACCGTTGGTCTATGCTTAGGCCATTTCCAAGTGTATAGTGAAGCTGAAATTTTATTACATGCAGGGGAGGGTGTTCCTACCTCTCTGGAAAGCTGACAGCTTGCTGTTATATCAGGCATTGCAGCCAGTCTACACAGACTAAGTAGAATGAGAGTACTAAGGCACTTATCTTTGATGAAAGAAAAGGGAAATATAAGATGAATTTAATTCACTTGATAATAATTCATCTTTCCACTTCATTGTGTCTTTATAGTCACTTTCTTTTTGCACAAACAAATGACTGGAATTATAGTCATCATTTGGAAGAATGAAGTATGGACTAAAGAACCTGATATTGAATACCTTTGGTATAATTTCTTCAATATATAC